TTCCAGTTACAGTGTGACCCCCACACACACACAGACACACACACGGCCCGAAGGATAACCAGTGTTTTTAGTTCAGCGGCCTCTGCTTCCTGTCAGCGACCTGCAGAGGACTGGGTGGCCCTCTGAGTGTCTGTGAGAGATTTATGCCACTTAAAGAGCAGCGAGGCGGGTCATGTGTGGAAGAGGTACCTGTGTGTATGTGTGAGCACAGTAGTTGTCAGTTCAATCCACACGAAGCTTCAACATGCAGGCAGCGCTGCAGATAAACGTGGTCTGACCGTGTCCACCTGAATTCAGTCTATTCCAAACTGAACATATTATTATACAAAGGAACACATTTGGCTTTTGGTTGAAGTTGTGCAGAACTAACAGGAAGAAGAAACGCAGCCTGGGGAGCAGGACGCCACATACACCAGTGTTGTTGTGTGTACAGTGTAAAACAGATGATGTCATGTGGATTTACTCATTAACCCTGTAAAGCCCAACATATCCAAAAATAACCAGAACATTCTAATTTTTTGGAAATTAGATGTTTATTAAACCTTTTAACAAAATCCAAAAGAAAATTCAAGATTCACGATTTTTATTTGCCATTTATGCATAGACAGACAGTCCAGGCATATAGGAATAGAGGTGCCATATTATTTAGATTATTTCTATTTCTTTCTTTGATACGTGAGGTTTCTGAGCAAACAAAAAAAACAACAAATCACCAAAAATGCCCCATGTATCAAATATCAAACTGGTTTTATATTAACATACAGACGGTTTGTACCCATGAACTTTCTAGGATTCCGATGTGTTGGGTCCCTGTGGAGCTTCTCAGCCTGGAAACCTCACAGTCCTTTTACTCACATCTCCTTCCCGACCTCTAACACACACACAGCTCCCGGTCACTTCCTCCCTGGATGACCTTTGACCTTCCTGGGTCACAGCAGCTGATTTTGAGGGTTGTGAAGCTCATCACCAGCAACAACAACACACTCCTGCTGATCCCTTCCCACACTGAACAATATCCATCCATAAATGTGTCATCCTGTCCAACCCTGATTATCTGACTGCCCACATTTCTTCTTAAAGTGTTTCAGATCTCACATATTGTAAGTCATTTGCCTTCACCAAATACTTTCTTGTACCAAGACGTTATTAAATGCAAAAGGTTCTTGCCATGTGGAAAACTAACAATTGAGAGCCTGGCATTTCGCAGGAGTTCTCACCAAAATCGACTTCACTTTCCCAGGAAACATGTCGACAAACATCCTGCAGGATCCCAGGATGTTTGGTAGGTTTGGTAGGTGTCTTCCTTTGTGTCTGTGTTCAGGAATCGAGGAGACAAAGGAAAAAACTGTGGGGCTCATGAGTTGTTTGGTGTTTCCATTATTTTGTCCACAGGAGAGAATATGCACAGACATGCTGCGATTCCCATGAAGAGTGTGTGTCTGAAATATTCATCATGAGAGAGGTAGAGGCAGAACAGGGAGGCCAGAGAATCGACTTGATTCATGTCCTCGTCTTTATCCTTCCTGTTCCTGCTTCCTCCTCACAACTGTCCCGTGTATACACACACACACACACACACACACACACACGTTACGGCCGTGCGGGACTGAGGGCAGACAGATTGTGTATCCAAAACAAGCTGGGAAAGAAAAGCGAGCGGGAGGGGCAGGGGTCATGGGTCAGGGGGGCGGTGATGGAGTGATGACAGGTGTGTCCTTCACTCTCTCTTTCTCCTTTCATGTGTCTCAGTGGAAGCCTCTCGCCCCGTCTCTGTCCTCCTCAGATTTCTTGCCAGCTCTCACGCCGTCAGGCTGGTGTTCGATGCCGTATATAAAAGCCGAATCCTTGGGAATCCCTTATGAGAATCCCTACATTAGCTCCAGCTTTTGATTCTCACAAATAGCCAAAGTAAATAAGAAGTAAATGTCAAAGACCTGTAATCACCTTTTGTTGAAACAGCTTTTACATAGTGTTGATTAAAAATGATCTTAACCAAAGTGGAAGTCCAAGACTTTGGCTTTAATGTGAGCTCAGTTTATTACCTGCTCATCATGGCCACAGTCTACACAGTCTGGAGAAACGGCCCAGGTTGGAGGAGTGAAACACTTTAGTTGTTAGTTTAAACATTTACGTTTAACACGTTATACCATTATTTTGTTAAACCCAGCTGAGGCTTTAGTTTTGTAATTAAAACGTGGGAGAGGCTCAGTTCACCCTGAGATTAAACCATGTTTCATCATCCATCCAATAGTCAGGAGATGTTTTGGTCTGTGGTGGCACGTCGACCCGTGCACTGAACCATGTGACCAGTGAGTTCATGTAAATCACTTACAACAGATGGTCAGTACCTCCTAAAAATGAAAGTGACCTGGATGTTTTCTGCATTGCTCTTTGTTAATAAAAACAGGTTGTGATCGTCCCTGCCCTCTCTCTCTCTCTCACACACACACACACACACACACACACCTGTTTCCTCATTTCTCATAATCCCAGCCAGTAGTTAAACGTGTCACTTCCACCAGCTCTCAGCCAGACTGCTGTTCAGGCTGTGGACTCCACTTCTTGGCAACCTGCCTGTAAACCTCTGTCAGACAAACTCACAACGTGTGTAGGTTCAATTGTTACCTCTGGACACATCTGAACGTCAGGCTTTCATCCACATTTCAGCAGCAACACTGGTCATTTAACCTTAATGAAGTGAAATAACCTCTGTGAGAACTGGTCCACAGTCAGTTCTGTGGACAGACATTCACCTCCACTGGGGTGGAGAGAATGAGGGGGAAGTCTCTCTCTGTCATACCTCCACCTAAAACCCTGCACCTCCGTCGTAGCCAGCAGGAAAGCATGATCAGTATTTCAGTCCGGCTGTTTGTTCATTACTGACACTGAGCATCCAAGAAGACTACATGTGGTTTAAGTTTCTGTTTCCTGTTGCTGGGGATCCTTAGAGCTCCACTTCCTGTCGTCCAGAAATCAGAAGGTCTGATCTGCAGCTGTTGTCTTTAATCAGCCAACAGGAAGCTGAGCAGGACACATCAGCAGGTTGCACCACAGCGACAAACTGACATCAAAGTACACACACTGTCTGTCTTAAATACACACTGTTGTGTGTACACACACACACACGTCTTGTTTCATGCCCCATCTTACAGCACATTTCTTGCTCTGTCTCTGTCTTCGTTTATCACATGCAGACTTCTGAGGCGGCGGCGGCGTCTACAACACAAACACAGGCCGACACACCCTCTGGTCACGGTGTTGGTGTCTTGTGCTGCAGAGCTGGAAACTGACTAAGAGTATTTACTCACGTGTTGTACACAAGTACAACTTTGAGGTTCCTCAACTTGAATTATTATTTATTAAATGTGAGTTCTTCAACAACAGCAGATCAGTAACAGACCAGTGGTTGGCACACGGTGACCTTTGACCTCTACTGAGTGTGCTGGGTTTCCACCAGGCGACACTCAGTGAAGTTCACAGTTCAACCTGAGGACAGGTGCACGTGTGTGTCACAGACAAAGGCAGCCAGGTGAACAGCAGGTGAGAGTCTGAGCTTCTCTCCACTCTCCTGCTGTTGTTGGGTAAACGTGTGTCTGACCACTTGACACATGGCGGCGGCTACTCATGAACCAGGAGACGATGTGTCCAATAACACAAAGACACTACAGAAGGAAAGTAAGAGAAAACTGAGCCCACGCCAGGGAACAATGAAAAAAGAGGAGGAGGAAAGTAGCATCCAGAGAAAAAGGATCAAGAGCTCAATGACCAGAAATGACTCTGTTCACTTTTATAGAGTTTGACATGTAGACAAACAACCACACACACACACACACACTCCTAGGGGCAGGTTAGAGTCTCCAGTCAACCTAAGCTGCATGTCTTTGGACTGTGGGAGGAAGCTGGAGCACCCGGACAGAACCCACGCAGGCTCAGGGAGAACATGCAGAACATGGGTCGGCCCGGGCTCGAACCCGGCACCTTCTCACTGTGAGGAGACAGCTAATCTGTCCCAGTATGGAAGTATTGATCATTTATTCATTATAAACTGGTTCAACATTAGCAGAGCCATGAAGCCAAAAACCCTGGAACTGGTTCCAAACATTTGACCAATTAGTCAAATTAATGTTTTGCTCCATAAAAACAGAAACAGCCCTATTTCTCATTTTTTAAGCAACAGTGAAATAGATAGAAATAGATATTTAAGGTACTGTTGTTAGGACCAAGGGCCTGTTGTTTGTCACTGTTCATTGATCCAAACCAAGGAGAGCGGCTCAGCTCTTCACCCAGTCATCTAGTGGAAAACTGACGATAACGGTTTAAATATCTGATGTGATTCTAAAAAGAGTGTGAGAGCTGAAAGAAATCTGACACAACACATTTGTTTCTATTTATGAAAAAATATATTTCTTGATTCCGACTTCGACATTAGGCACATTAACATGGACATATATGCAATTTTCTTTCATAAATACAAAATTATTTACAAAAGGAAAAATTAAATAAGGAAGCTGTCTTCTGGAGAGTATGTACACATTGCATTGTTTTCTTAAATTAACGAACACACACCTACACAGGAACAACACATTTTTGGTATCAAATGGATTAAAAGTGGGACTAAAAACTCTCTGAGTTCTTTGCTGGTGTTAACGTTTTGTTTCTTCCCACTAAAGAAAACAGCCCGAGCTGTGACTGTGTTGAAACGCTCCAAGGCTCGAATCTTGGGAATGTTGCAGAACAGCAGCAGGTTTTACTGCTCCTTGTTTTCTGGCTGCTAAAGCAACAGAAGAAGAAAATAAAATATCAAATTGTAAAACTTACAACAGTGAGTAAAAAGCAAGCAAAGTCACGGGAAGACAAACAGAGAAACTGATTTGATGACTATGGCTCAGCTGGCAGGACGTTCTGGAGCAGCTGACTGCTGATACCGGTACTAACCCCCCATGTGAGAGTGGAATTAGGATCCTGGACTGGGGAGATAATGGTTATTAGAACTGGGACCAAGACTGGATTTGAAACCTTGCCAACAGGTTCCAGTGGATCTGAATGGGTTAAGGACAGGGTCTGAACATGAGCCACAAACTCTCACTGACTTCTTGCTTTACTGCAGCTCGTCTTATCCAAAGAGGCACTTCAGAGTTTGTAGGATAGGACGGTGACTGTAAGGCTGATGTCATTCATCTTAAACAGGCCACGCTGCGTTTCCAAACAAACCAAAACATACAATCAAATGGATGATGTGATCTTTAAAGTCGCTCACAAACAGTCCAGTTCACCTTCCAGACAAAAGGCTTGTGTTCAAAAGTAAAACATTCTGCCTCCCCTTCCTGTCAGCGGGTCCTCTGATGAATTGATCGACATCTTATTTTGGAATTGTACAGGAAATGGGCGCCATGACGATTAGGGAGCACAGCTAAGGCACCGATCTTCCCGACTGGAGGATTAATTCCAACTCTTCACGCCACTTGTTCATGTTTGAGCCAAGGAACATTCAGATATACAGAATGAAAAATTATATTAGGATTTAAAGTATAAAAAAGATAAATAGTGCAAATGGCGCCGGACATTCAGTCTCTCCTCTTTTCTTTCTTTCTCCATTGCTCTTCTTTCTTTTCCAATTCATTTTCATCCAAACATTGTCAGTATCAAAGCAGGAAAGCGTAGAAAACAAGTCTTTTCCTTATGTTTCATTTAGTTGAGCAGCAGCAATAAATAATAAATAAAGTCAGGTGTGTTGAATAGATCCTCTGGGCGAGTTGTCCTGGACGGGGAACGTTTCAGGCCTCCAGTGTAAAGTTTTCTGCACTGACGATCTAGAGACTAGATGTTATACCTGAGAATGACACAGAGAAACAACATCCATGATCATGTGGTCTCTACAGACATGACATCACTCACAAAACAAAGGTGGAGAAGTTACTTACAAGCCTCATATGAGAAAACCCCCCAGGGCCAAGTGTTTTACATGATTATACCCGATCACAGTAGTGTAGTCTGAGTCCCTAACAACTGAGGAACGCTCAGCCAACAGCTACTCGCTCAATGCCACCTCCTCATCATTGCTCTTTATTGTTTCTGCAGTTCACGTTGCAGTTTTACTAATCACCTCTAACAAAGAGCCTAAACTTTATTTTTCATTAAAAATGCGTAGAAATCGCTGAAACATTTTAATGACTGAGTAGTTGTATCTGCATTTGTTGAGAACAATTAAGAACACGCTTCCAAAAGGTCCGGAGGTCGGCTTGGCAAAAACATGGATGAGTGTGGCCTGAAAACACTGCCATAAAACGCAGGCTGCAGCGGAGCATCTGGCCACGACCCAGAGCGGTTAAAGAACCCAGATGTATCCTGTGGTTGTATCAGACCACAGATCTCAGACATGGAAATGTGTTGGTCAGCCTTAGCTCTCTGCCATCACACTCACTGATTCTCCACTCTCATCCACAAATTAACTGGAGGTGTGATCATTCTCTCATGAACCAGAGTCAATATCAAGTGACCTCACCTCAGTAGCAAACACACACTGCCCCATCTGCTCTTGGATGATGAACACTGGGTGATACAAATTGTCCTTTGAAAAGCTGAGGGGAGGGATGATGATGGACGTGTCACACTTCTTACTGTAAAGACAGAGACAGACAGACAACAAAGGTTTTAACAGCAGTCCTTTGTGAAAGTGTGTGAATGCTGGAGTGCACGGAGAAGGACAAGTAGGAGCACACACACAAACAAAAAAACCATAATGATGTTCTTACAAGTCAAACTTGTCCTTGGCCAGATGCTGCTCTTCTTTCACCAGGTTACACTCTGCCATTTTGTTTTTAACCATGCTGTCTCCACACTTGTCCGTCAGTGCTGCGTCCTTATTGGACACTTTAAGTTGTCCTCCAGGGATGAGGAGGGCCTCCTTCTCTCTCAGGCTGCCCAGCGGTGCTCCTGGTAAACTCCCGTTATTGGGTCCAACGCCACCGATCACTATGTTGCGGTTGTTCACCCTGTCCAGGTCATTCTTGACCGACATGGAAATGGCTGTTAGGGCCCTTCCTCGGCAAAGCTTCTGCAGCATGTGGATGGCGGCACACATCAGCAGAATCAGCGTCACCAGGCCGAGGGCAACAGCAGCAACCAGCGCAGGAGGAGAATCACCATTCCCAGGTGGCTTTGTAGTTGGCCCGGGGTGCATGACAGGATACTCACAGCGTGCACCCATGAAGTCTGGTGTACACTTACACACCGGGCCCGAGAAGTGGGTGTAGCAGGTGCCACCGTTGCCACAGGGAAACTGGTCACAGGGGCTGGTGCGCACGGAGCAGTCCTTACCGGAGAAGCCAAGAGTGCATTTACAGGTGAAGTCATTGATGCCATCGATGCAGGTGCCGGCATTGCGGCAGGGGTTGTCAGAACAGTCATCAATGTTGATCTCACAGCGAGACCCAGTGAAGCCTGGCTGACAGCGGCACATGACTCCGTTACCAACGTCCGTGCACCGAGCGCCTGCAGAGACACAAAGGTTTTAGTTATTAACACACAACTGAAAAACCGACAACCTTTACAACAACAACACATGCAGCTGCCAAAACATCAGCGGTTCAAAACGTACTCTGATTGGTTACAAAAGTATGTTTTGAGAACCAGTGTGAAAATTCTCTGTCCTGCTAAATATCACTTAAATAACAGCACAAAAGTATTAGCATCAAAATATAACCTAAAGCGCCAGAAGCTAAAGTTCAATGATATTACTGGATTATAATGACTGGTTCCTTATTGTGTTCTTCACGTTCGATGCTGCTGGTGAAGGTGGAGCTAATTTTAATAACCTGATACATTTATCAAGTACTTTTCATACTGCTGGGTAGTGAAGTACCTGGTTTAGATCAGAAGCAGTTAGCTTAAGAGAAATCAGTTGTTTGACACGCTAAACTAGAGGAAGAGCCAAAATATTGTGCCTTTTCTTTTTCTTCTTAAATTGAATCTGATCATTTTTAATCCAACTGAATCCAGAGTTTGCCAAAGACTCCCAACCACATCTCAACCTACCAGTTCAAAACAGCTGCTATTGTGAATAAATTGTATCTGAGGCCGTGTTTCAGTCCAAAAAGAGCAAAATATCTACTTTTTGACAAAGATCTGAAATGGAACTACTCATACGTTTCCAAAATGCCTTGGTTGATCGCAAAAGGAAGAAATAATTCACAGTGATGAACAGTTTTTAATCCTCTAGACAAGTGGAGAAGTTCATTACAGAAGACTCCATGTGGACAGAAAGGATGGCGGCGAGAGGGAAAACTTTATTACAGCATGTGCTCACAACAGATGAAGCTCATCAGGAGAGATATGTGTGTGATTAGAAACATCCTGAGGTTTTCCACTGCTTGGAAGGCACATGACTGGCCAGTGAGTTACACAAACCAGTACTCTGATCTGGTTCCATTTAGGAGAGGAGAGGGTGGAGCTTCCTACAGCAGCTGAACTTTTGGAGATATGTCGGTCGGACTGAGGTGACACACCGAGCCTCAGACTTCAGCCTGAACACCATATCTGGTCATTCTGTGCCGCTGCTGATATATTGCAACACCGCTATAACCAAGCAGGAGGCATCGCGGGGGTCTTTGTTCCCCTCTCAGACTCACTGAGAGGCAGGGATGATTGTAGATTCAAGCAGGCGCCAGTGGAGCCGGCTGATCCTGAGTATCTGTCTGTGTTTGCAAAAGTTCAGCTGCCTTACAACCTGAGAAACCTTGTGCATCCTTCTTTCTTTATGAAAGCACAACGATCATTTCAACTGGTTAGTTCCAAAGACTTCCTAGTAATCTCCTCCTTTCCAGAATGAGGTTCCTAGTGCCAAGAACAAAGCAGTATAAAAACAGCTTGTTCCTGCTGCCACTGCTGAGTGTACCAAGCTGTAACACCCTTCTCGAGCCTGTTTTATGGTTCCAAGTCTTATAAGGTGTTTTTATGGTCGATATACTATGTTGTGTGTTATTTTGTGTGTCTGTTGAGGACTGTGCTGCAGACAGGTCTACCTTTGGGTGTCAATACAGTAACCTGAAACACTGGTAAAAGTGATTTTGCAACTTTTAACCCCGTCATCCTCTTTGGTTTACTGTTGGCCGCTTTCCAAACCAAACTTTCTCCCAGGCAGCCTGTGGTTGTAGTTCATTTCAGAAAGCTGCAAAAATCAACTTGCAGGGGCTTGAAACCTGCTGCACATACCTAACCCATCACAACAAACATCTTTAATCATTCTGCTTGGTCTGAAATCCGACCTGAGCGGTGCAGGAAACGCAGACATCCCAGATTTGACCAGGTGAATGCACGGCCTTCATAGGTCGATGACTTATTTGTTGCACTGTTGTTGTTTAGCAGCTACAGGCGGGTGACAGCGGAGAGGAAAACCTGAATAAATGAGAGTATCCAGTAGTATACGCCCTCCATCCACAGGGAACCGAGTGGCTCGACGAGTATGAAAATGACATGAATCATAACAAACTGACCATCTGCACAGTCATCACTGACAAAATAAAGCTCGATGCTGAGTAATGGATCCTGTCGCTGCAGGTTCAGGTCTCTGCAAGCTGATTACACACAGAAATGAAAGCAGTGGCTGCTGGGTAGAGCAGCCTACAAGCTGATGTTTTGGAAGATGTTCAGCAGTGATGTAAAGACTCAGCAATTTGTAGTAGAAACAACACCAGTCCAAGGCGCCTCTGGCAAAGTGCATGTACAGGCTACACACACATCTTGCATGTCACACTGAGGTGCAGCTGATTAAATTATCCTGTAAAACGCTGCAAGCCACCTTTGGAGGACCAGCTCTGCATTTCAGGAGAACAATGAGCCACGGTCAGCCCGGTGCTGACCGTTCTATCAGGATGAGAACCGCCGTCAGAGCTGGACTCCTGCCCGCGAGACAGCACGAGGGCAACAGCTGACAGCTCCAAGTGCCTCTGTGCTTACAGACAACACAGTCTGAGGATGAAGATGTTTGTGTTGTCAGACGGGAGGAGATAAGACACGCTCAGAGGTTCCTATGTGGCAGTTGGGAGTTTATCTGCCCTCTGACATCCAACATTAGAACCACTGGCAGGTCAAGAGAAGATCATCTGATTCTAGTGGCACCTGTAAAGCGGTGGGATACACGGCCAGCTAGTGAACAGTCAGTGCTTGAAGTCGATGTGATGGAAGCAGGAAAAACGAAAAAGCTTAAGGACTTTGAGGGTCAAACTGTGACGACTGGGTCAGAGCGTCTAGATGAACGAGTGATTTTCAGCACGCACACTGTAAATCTTTGTGTTCAGAAGGCTTGAGACACCTGTACCGTCTCCAAAAGACACCTCTGAATAAATGTACTGCAAAGGTCCTGTGAGGCTCCAGTGAAATTATCATGGCGGGATTTTGAAAAAGCGCATTAAACTGTATGAAATTAGTTCTGATCTTCACTTGTTCATGAAAAACCCTCAATGAGAATCCACTCCAGACCTCTGAGCGGGAGCAGATTGTGCCAGGAAATTAGTGCTCGGATGTACAGACGGCAACAAATGGAAGGAACCGGCCTGTACAGAAGCTGGTGGTGCAGGCTGCTTTAGGGGCAACAGCAGCAGGACACGGTGCCTCGTTGTCCACTGCCTCCAAGTGCCTCTGAGTCCGTGGACTTGATTTACCATGGATCAGCTCGTTACTATCAGCGGCCTTTAAACTGAGATAACCAGCTGTACTTTTTGTATCAGCTAGTCACTGAATGTGACTATGAACTGTGGTGTATCAATGAATGATTAACTGATCATTTGCCCTTTAGGACAAACAGCCAGTTAGCTGAGGTCGGCACAGAGCGAGGGCCTAGTTCCTAACAATATTCTGGGAGGACAGAAATGTCCCTAGCAATATTTGAGCATATTAGATCATCACCAATGTGCCTGACAGATCAGTCTTCACTTATTCTCTTACTGCAGCTCCAGTCACTGATTTCACTGACTACACAGACAAAACAGAATCTATGACTGGAAACACCAACAAATACTGAACTCTCATCCATCCATTCAACACTCATCCAACTGTGCGCCACAAAGTCACAAAGCAAACAGGCCACATCAACATCTGGAGCTGCTTCACTAGGAATGACTGAGAAAGTCCTGGCACTGAGTGGTTGAATGGCGGCCACCTGCAAGTCTGAACTCCTCCCTCACAGATCAGAGACTTGGTTTGCTGCTTCATGGTTCTGGTAACAATGTGATCCACCTGGCAGGTACTGACAGGACTGCACTAAAAAGCCTGAGTGTTTCTAACCGACATCGATCACATGCGTGTTTTATTCTTTTCTGATAAGTGTGTAGCATCAGATCAGTGCAGAAGGTTCGTACCGTTAGCACAGGGGCTGCTGCTGCATCTGTCCATCCTCTTCTCGCAGTTGGAGCCCGTGTAGCCGGGTGGGCAGCGGCAACTATACCCACCCGCCACGTTTTCCACACAAGTCCCTCCATTGAAACAAGGCCCATCTGCGCACGTCATGGCGCTGATCTCGCAGTTCTTCCCATAGAAGCCCTGAGGGCAGGCACACGAATAATCGTTCACCAAATCCTGGCAAAAAGACAGGAGGAGAAAACATGGTGAGGTGCAGAAGAAGATCTGTCAGTCTGAGCTCAGCTCTGTTCTAATGTGTGTCAGTCTGAGCTCAGCTCTGTTCTAATAGTCTGAGCTCAGCTCTGTTCTATGTGTGTCAGTCTGAGCTCAGCTCTGTTCTAATGTGTGTCTGTCTTCACTGACATGTTCGAAAGGTGCCTCGCTTGGACCGCTGCAGTGCTTTAAAAGGAAAAGAGCTGTTTGCAAAATGCCCAGAACTGGAAGAAGAAAGCAAATCAAGGAGCTTTTGAGGCTTCACTGATCCAGTGCACCGACTTACTTTGCAGCTGCCGCCATTCTTGCAGGGGCTGATGTCACATTCGTTGGTCTCAGTCTCACAGTTTTTGCCAGTGAAGCCGGGCCGGCAGGTGCAGGTGTAGCTGCCCTGGCCGGTGTTAGTGCACGAGGCCTCGTTCTGGCACGGCTTGTGGTTGGTGCAGTAGTTCAGGTCTGGAGAAACGAGATGAGAGTACAGGCACGGTTAGGTCAGCGAAGCAACAAAGGGTACCGATGATATATCTGTCAATGACGGCTCAAGTCTCCTACGCTCGAGGCCACTTTATTAGCTACGCGGGTACACAACTCAGTGCAACACTTCCACTTTATGAAGTTCAAAATGTTTCAGCTGGTGTCTCCCCAGCTACATACATGACAGGGTCAGAATATTAGGAACAGCTCTGAACTTAATGTTGTCCAGTACAACACCCTCTTTAACCACCACCACAGTAAACAATGAATTTATGACAGTTTCACCAAAAACAAACATTTTCAGCTTCATAAACACAAATGTTAAGGAGGAAGTGTTGCATCCAGCTGTAAAGGGATTGGGCCCATTACTGAGGTTCACTCAACTCTGTCTGAGGAAACACTGTGTGACACTATATGTTTTTATTGCTGAGACTTTTTACATGGAAATATGAATATTAAAACGTCCTTGTAGTGGAAGTTTAAATTGACAGAAATGAAAGCAGGAGACAGGCGTCACATTTAAAGATTCACATCCTCAGCAAACTGTAGATTCAGCAAAACGTCTCTGCATCGTTTGTCATTTCACTGCCAACTTGGCCTGAAGTGAGTTAAAGTGTCAAACTGCCCTTTTCTATCGTGTCACCAATGAGGTGAAAAGAAACTTAGAGGTTTTAAACCTGGGATCGTTCACCGACAGTCGACATCATCACCACTACGGTGAAATAAAAATCTACATTTGAAACGAGCTCTATTACATTTTTCATCTATGGATAAAAACCAAAAGGTCACGTGGAAGACGGACAAATGGACATGAAGCAAGACAGTCCTCCGTCTCTCTCCATCTATTAAGTGTCGAAGTCACAAACTGCGGCTCTTGATAAGTGAAGGGTCGATAAGTTTCCTTCACTGCCTGAAATATCTCTTGTTCAAGCATCGATTTAACTGTTGCACTGCCATTTATCCTCCTCCAGATGTTGGCTGGTGAGCTGTACCAGTGGAAATGCTGTCTGACAATCTAACGGTTCAAACCCGGTGAACAGGATTTCAGCCGAGGCCCAAACCCAGGCGCCGAAACAATACCCATTTTGAATGAGCACTGTTTGAAACCTCTTTTTGTCCTAAAGCATGCAGCACACTGACAAACATGGCTGAGTATTTAGTGAATAAAGCAGTCGGCCGCCTGTCCACCTGACTGGCAGCCTGCTCTCCAGCTCCCACCTACCTTGGTCACAGTACAGGCCTCCCCAGCCCTCCTTGCAGTTGCACTGCCAGGGTTGTTGGCAGGTCCCATGGAGGCAGCCCGGGTGTCGGGTGCACTGGTCGCAGCGTTCGCCCTGCCAGCCATGATTGCACACACACTCCCCGGGAGACTTGCAGATGCCTTGCTCCTTACTGCAGCCCGCTGCACAGATGGCTGATGGGAGGAGTAAGGAGGTAAGTACACTTCATTTGTTTAGCACGTTTCCAGATCAATAGTCACAAAGTGCTTCACACACAGAGAACAACACACACAGCCCATAGAGCGACAGTGCAGTCCTAAAAACCACAACACAATAAGAGCTCAAAAGCCATTTCACAATGTGCCCCCAGAGGTTACGTCCATCAGGGACAGCTCCAGAGTTTAGGAGCCGCAGCTCCAAAGGCGCAGACACCTCTGGTTTTAAGTGTGGAGCGAGGAGCAGCCAACACTCCCCCTCTGACTAGTTACATCAGGCTGACATAGGCAGGGCCTGATCATGATGGGAAGCTAAGTGGACCAAAGATGTTTTACTGGGACAGGTGAGTAAAGGAGGTGTAGTCAGAATGAAACCAAACATGAATGAACATTTCCATCTGAGAGGGAGGGAGAGAGAGGGAGGTGCAAGAGAGAGGAAGAAGGAGAGTATTACTCTGAGTGGTGTGTGTGTGGTGTGTGTATGCTGGTTAAGTGCTGAGTGAAGCAGCTGGCCCACATAACAAAAGCGACACATGCCGCCTCTTTTCACGCACGGCAGCGCACATTAAACGCCAGCGCGTGTCCCTGTTAAAGCAGGCGGCCTGGGGGCCAAGCCGGGGCCATTGTAGAGTTCACAACAAAAGGAGCAGACCTCAGAGCCAACACACACACACACACACACACTCTTCAGCCGCCAGGGCCTGTGATGGCGTTGACAACTGCTTGACTTAACAATTTCAAGGCCACCAAACAAAAAGCTGAAGCACCAAGGCTCCTATTCTTCACCCCCTTCCTCCCAATATGAAGAAACGTTAGGGGGGGGGGGGGGCCCAACTTCCAGACCCCCCCTGTGGCAGTCGGCCGCCTGTCCACCTGACTGGCAGCCTGCTCTCCAGCTCCCACCTACCTTGGTCACAGTACAGGCCTCCCCAGCCCTCCTTGCAGTTGCACTGCCAGGGTTGTTGGCAGGTCCCATGGAGGCAGCCGGGGTGTCGGGTGCACTGGTCGCAGCGTTCGCCCTGCCAGCCATGATTGCACACACACTCCCCGGGAGACTTGCAGATGCCTTGCTCCTTACTGCAGCCCGCTGCACAGATGGCTGATGGGAGGAGTAAGGAGGTAAGTACACTTCATTTGTTTAGCACGTTTCCAGATCAATAGTCACAAAGTGCTTCACACACAGAGAACAACACACACAGCCCATAGAGCGACAGTGCAGTCCTAAAAACCACAACACAATAAGAGCTCAAAAGCCATTTCACAATGTGCCCCCAGAGGTTACGTCCATCAGGGACAGCTCCAGAGTTTAGGAGCCGCAGCTCCAAAGGCGCAGACACCTCTGGTTTTAAGTGTGGAGCGAGGAGCAGCCAACACTCCCCCTCTGACTAGTTACATCAGGCTGACATAGGCAGGGCCTGATCATGATGGGAAGCTAAGTGGACCAAAGATGTTTTACTGGGACAGGTGAGTAAAGGAGGTGTAGTCAGAATGAAACCAAACATGAATGAACATTTCCATCTGAGAGGGAGGGAGAGAGAGGGAGGTGCAAGAGAGAGGAAGAAGGAGAGTATTACTCTGAGTGGTGTGTGTGTGGTGTGTGTATGCTGGTTAAGTGCTGAGTGAAGCAGCTGGCCCACATAACAAAAGCGACACATGCCGCCTCTTTTCACGCACGGCAGCGCACATTAAACTCCAGCGCGTGTCCCTGTTAAAGCAGGCGGCCTGGGGGCCAAGCCGGGGCCATTGTAGAGTTCACAACAAAAGGAGCAGACCTCAGAGCCAACACACACACACACACACACACACACACACTTCAGCCGCCAGGGCCTGTGATGGCGTTGACAACTGCTTGACTTAACAATTTCAAGGCCACCAAACAAAAAGCTGAAGCACCAAGGCTCCTATTCTTCACCCCCTTCCTCCCAATATGAAGAAACGTTAGGGGGGGGGGGCTCCACTTTCAGATGCCCCATTGGAGCAGTGCAGGACCAGGTCTGTAACTGCTGTGGGCAGGAAGACCACATGAATACAGGTAGCAGTCACTCAGCAACATGCTGGTCATGTTCTAGTGCAACTGCTTAGTGTTTACTCATGTATGAGAGCCCAGGCTGCTGCACGTGGTCATAAACCAAACTGTAAAGTAGCTGAACAAACATGCACACACACAGGAGTTAAAGTGTAGTATTCATTCTCACGGTCAGCGCAGTACTCTCCACTCCAGCCCTCCAGACACTGGTAGTTCCCCTCACTGTCGCAGGTGTAGTGGCCAAAGGTGTCGTTTCGGGGCCGGCAGTAGGTGGCACAGGCCTTGCCGTGGTAGTACTCCTCGCACACCACATGGTAGGAGTAACGGAACTCGCTCTGGTTGCCAAAGTGCACGTCCTGCGACCATTCCTCCCCAACAATCAGGCTGCGGCGGGTCGCCAGTCGGCTGATGAGGCTGTTCCTGTTCTCTGGTGGAACAAGGAGAACAGTGGTGAGACTTTCAATCTGTCCTCATCCTACAGAGCTTCAGTGGGCTGCTTTTCCTGCCACTTGTCTGTATAACAGCATCTAAAGCTGCTCTCCACAGCTGGACTCCTGCATTAAAGGTGTGATTTCTTAAGATAGACACCAACTTTCAGCGGGAAGCAGCGCCGCTGTCGCCGTCTGGCGGTGAAGTAGCGACACTGCAGCAGCAGTAGCACTTTACCTGTAGAGTTGGTTCCTAGAGACTCCACGCTCCAGGCTTCCACGATCAGAGAGAAGGTTCCCTGGAAAGGGTGGAAGAGGGTCGGTTAATGACCTGATCCGTGCACGTGTTGCATATGTGAAGTTCTATAGGTGTGTTTTAAGCTTTGATTTGGTTACAGCTCCACAGAGAAACACAAATCCACAACAAGATGGAAATGTTACTTATTTAATCATCTGAGCGTCACTGAACTGTCTGCTCTACCAGGAACCTGTGAAACACAGATCACAGGAAGTCAAGGTGTGACTTTCGCCACTTACCGGCCACTTGAAGAGCAGGGGCACTCTGATGGGCGCGCTTTCGGAGATGGAGTTGGAGTCGGCAGCAAAGATCTCGGTGAGCGCGGAGCCGTACGTACACGGCGGCTCCGGGCTGATAACATCCTGTGAGTGCTTGAGACATACGCGGAAAAAGATCCGGCAGTCCCGGGGCTGGTGGCGACAGACGCCGCGGGAGCTGGTGAAGGAGTCGATCTTCAACTCAAAGACCCCGGAGCAGAGCACCTGGATGATAGAGAGCACAGGGGCGCAAAAAGGGTGTCAACACTGGAGGAATAAGTAATGTGTAGTTGTTCAAGACACACAAATAAGCACAAACATGCACAAACACATTGAGTTCACTTCTGCAGACCATGGAATAAGTTTGGTAACGAAGCCGCCGATGTTCTTCTACATTTACTTCTCCAGACATGCTTGATATGTGACTTCAGAGATCCAGTAACATGTTACGTTTTATGTACCCAAATGAAGTAAACAGCTCGCACGCTGTGCGTAACTGAGCACATCTCCACAACTCACCGCGTCCCCAGTTAAAAAACATGCACCGCGGCTCTAAAGTGCAGAAGAAACTGAGCTCCAGTAAAGTTTGTTGTCAGTGCTACTCACCGTCCGCGCTGATACAAACAGCAGGAGACACGGCAGGAACAAACTCGCCATGGCGTGGCGGCTCGGAGCGTCCAGGGCAATAGCGCCGGAGCAACAAGTTAGTTCAATGTAATGCAACTGGGCAATATCCAAAATGTGTCCGGACCGTAAGGGGACGAAGAGCGACACCTGAAGACATAAAAAGTAAAAACACTTCGAGAAGCAATGAATCTGTTGTAAAGTCAGAGGTGCGGCCGGTGTGTACGTCGGCGAACTGGATGCAGAGCAAGAAAACGAGTGGGAGCTAAGATCCAGTCGGCTGCTGGACTCTGGACTGGCAATCCTGCGTCACACCCCTGCTTTATACCGAGGAGCAGCGGGGTGGGGGTGGGGTGTGGGGTGTGGGGGGCTGCGAGAGGAGGGGACGCTGCAAACAGTATTCACCTGAAGAACAAGTCCTCTGTCTACTGTCCTGAAAGGCGCTGCACTGTGGTTGAACTTGGCTTCAAAACCGAAAATTCTCCTCTGTTCATTTTGTCACATGGATGAAAAAAAGTCAACCATGTGGAACTTCCTGTCAAACAAGAGCAGCGACATGAGCGTGCAAGTAGCATTACAGCTTAGATCAGGTGTGGTAGAGTTCCCATCAGCGCTGACAGCTTGCCAAGGACCTATTCCCAAAGTTTAGATGCTTGTTTTCGGACTTTCCAGACAGCCCTCGGTTTTCCTGTTTTGCGGACAGGATCAACCTGCACAGACTTGAACCTGCTGAGCCAAAGTTCTGCTGTTGTTTTGTGTTTGGGTTAAAAATCTGCCAGGTTTATGTCTTTGCACGCTGGCTTTGATCCTGAAACGTATGTAAGTGCATGTGCGTAACTGGAAGATCCATGTAAACTAAAGCAAAGGCAGGAGGAACGTCTGGGACGACGGGACCACGCATGGTGGGACGAGGGAGGGGAGGGGGTAATAAGGGTGAGGGCTGGGCGGTGTAATAGGGGCCCTCGCTTTCATTTGCCTTCACCGCACAAGGGGCAATTACAGCAGGGCAATAGAACAAACTGCCAGGCGACAGCGGCCAAACGCTCCTGTTGCCGCCTCCCCGGTGTAATCCCACGGCGGCCCGCTGCGGGCAGCTCGGTGCCGCAGTGTCAGCCTCCCGAACATGTGGGATTAAAATAGAAGGCGGTAGAAACACGGCCCCAGAGGCCACACAAACCGGCCTGACATGGCAGAAAGCTCGGTGTCAGAGCGCAGAGACGATTCCTGAAACTTTCCAATCATGTGTTACTGAAACATTATCGAGCTCACTGTGCACTGAGGGGATTACAGGTGACAGGTGGGCTCTCCAGGTGGGCTCTCCAGGTGGGCTCTCCACGTGGGC